AGGCTACCTGGGTGACAGGCCTAGGTCTTGGTCCCTGATGGCCCAAGGGGCTGGGCCCCAAGACTGGGTTTCCTTCTCCACCCTGTCCCTGGGCTCCCTATGGCCTGGGGAAGGGGCATTCCCAACAGACTCGGACTCAACATTCCTCTCTCTGCAGTCACTCAGCAGGACAGGGCAGTGGTGAGGAATGAGGGTGGCTGAGATGACATTCTGATACCTACGTAGTTCCCGAGAGTGTCACCTTGATGAGGTGCCCAGAGCTCCCGTGCAGCCTTACTCAGCGGACGGGTACCGAGGCCCGGGTTCAGCTGTAATTATTTGTCTGAATGTGACTCTGCCCACTAAACTGTGCACTTCCTGAGGGCAAAGCTCTGTGCTACTCATCTCTGTAGCCCCAGGCCCTGGCACAGCACCCTGGCCCACTAATGCCGCTCAAAAAACGTGTGGGATGAAGAGGCCAACGGGCACGGGGCCACCCCTCAGCCCTTCTGTGGCACCCATGACCCTGCTGGGGCTGACTCCCAGGGCTGCCCTCAGCTATCCCCAAACCACACCATTTCTTAGCCCAGAGAATGACACCTGTCGATCACAGAGTCCAGCCCAGTCTATCTCCTGGGAGTTCTGGAGTCCATCCTGGGTATCCCCCAAGTCTGGTCCCCACCCCTTGCCCAACTAACTCCTCAGCCTCCCTCCTTGGGTCTCCCTGTTTCTCCCCTGCCTTCGTCCAACCTGCCCCCCACTCTCCACACTCACTCCTGCCTGAGCCCTTTCTGGGGCTCCTGATGCCCTCCAGATAAAGTCCATGACTCTCCAGGGAGGGCCTGGAGGAGCTCCTCCCAACCCCAGCCTCTCCCCTTTGCCACTCCGGTCTTCCTCAGCTGGGGCCAGCCAGGGCCCTCGCTGGCTCCCCAACCCCTCATGCACTGTCCCCTGTTCCCCCATCCCCAGGGTCCTATTCTTTGTTTCACTGTCTGATCTCCCTGCTGGAACCTCAGCTCTCTCATGCAGGAGCCCCAGGGTGGAGCATACCATAGGCACTCCACAAGTGCTTGTACCATAGTACCATACCATGGGCACTGCATAAGTGCTTGTTCAATGCATGCGCAGTTGAATGGATTGCAGGGTAGAGACGGTGTCCTGTGTCTCAGTAAACAGAGTGCCAGGCACAGCACCCAGACATAGTCAGCACTCAGGTGGAATGAGTGAAGGTAACAAGAACGAAAAACTGGCAATCAGGACCCCTGAATTCTGCCCCAAGTTTCACACAGGGTCCCTGGCAGCCTTGTCCTTCTGCTCCAGAGCTCCACACCTAGCTTCTCCATCACTGACTACTCTACCAATGGCAGGTCCAACACAGCACTTCAGTGGTGCGGTCCTTTCCACGTCAGACAACACTCTGGCATGCACCCTCTCATTCAAGCCCTCCACCACCCTGCGGGTCCCACTTTTCCCAGACTCTGAGAGAGTACCAGGGCCCATGTGGTGGGGCACCACCAGCGTGCCAGTCACACTTTGCCCTTTGTTGGCTGTGTGGTCACAGGCAAATTCCTTGCTGTCTCTGAGTCAGTTTCCTCACCTGTGAAATGAGGATTCACCTCCCACCTAGGAAGTTGAGGAAGATTGCAAGACACCACCTGTGTGTAACCCACCGAGTGCCAGCTGCCTCTGATGTTCCAGTGAGCCACAGTTACATTCCTTCTCCACGACTGACTTCCCCAAATCTGACATGAGAGCCTTGGCTTTCGGGCTTTCTCACTGGTTAGACCAGTCCTGCCAGGGCAGTGTGGCTGTGGCTGCCCCTGTGGGGCGGCGGGTTGGAGGGCTGCTGCGGAGGCCAGCCTCTTCTGCGGAGGCCAATCACAAACTCGCATCCTTCCTAAGGGCTGCCAAGACCCCGAGACACCCTGGCAGACCCTAGATACTGCTGGGGAGCCGGGCGAGGGACACCCCAAGACTCCCTCTCCCGCTCCACTCTCCCTGGGGACCCCACCAGCGTCCCGTGCCCGAATTCGCGCTCCAGACGCCCCGCGGGCGCCCCCTGGTGGGAAGCAAAGAGCATCCTAGGCGCCCGGCTCGCCCCGGGACTCTCGCGGATGATCCCAGGTGCGACCCCGGGCAGGACGGCGCTGGCCCTCCGCCCCTAGCCATAGCCTCCCAGCCCCGTACAGCCTGGGGAGTCCACGAACTGCTCCCTGGAGCGCCCCAGACTGGGCCCCTGGGAACGGTCCGTGCCCACCCCACCGCCCCCTGCCCGTCACTGACCCATCTTCTTCAGCGCCCGCAGCCCGGGCCTCTTGGTGCCGCCATCGGAGGGAGTCGGCGGGGACGGGAGCGCGACCGGCGCCGCGACTTGGGCGGCTACCGGGGGCTCCTCGGGCGGGCGGCGGCAGCGCCTCCAGCGGCCGCACAGCATGGCTTGGCAGGGGGCCGGGGCCGGGCCCGGGGTCTGCACACGGGGACAGGGCAGCGGGGCGCCGCTCCGGCCCGGCCCCAGCTCTGAGCGCCGCGGCGAGCGAAGAAACTTAGCAGCGCTGGAGAGAGTCGGAGGAGGCAGCAGGAGGTGGGGCGGGATGGGAAGGGGGCGGGTCCAGGGCAGCGCGGGGGCGGGGCCAGGCGGTGGCCTGGACCCTCGGAGCCTCAGCGCTCACCCCAGCTCGTGAGTCCGCCTCCCCTCAGTCCCGGCGAGCCTCTGATCTTGGCCGTGACAGTGACCAGAGCCCCCATACTGCGGGGCTGGGGTTGGGAGCCGGCACCGGGGACGAGGGCCGTCCTCTGGCACAGACACCCTCTCCTTCCCGGGGACCCTGACTCGAGGCGGACGCGGGACCCCCTCCTCCTTCCCTTCCGCGTCCGCGTCGTGCCGCAGGCCTCAGCAGGGAACCAGACCTGGGACGGGACGCAGGGCCGGGAGCGAAGGCAGAACCCCAGGAGCTGAGCCGCGCGAGGCAGCGCGAACCCGAAGGGATGGGCATGGGGGTGGGGGGGGTTGGCAGTGACGTCATAGGATTAACCTCCCTGTGCCAGGCCAGGTGCTGCCCCCTCGGAGAGCCACAGTCTCGGAGCTGACGGACCTGGGAAGCGTGAGGCGGAGCCAAGCCTGGGGTCCCCAGCAACCGGTTCTGGGTTCGAGGCTTAGACAGGCCGGCACCCCAGCCCGGCATCTGCGATGTAGTTGTCCGCGATGTCAACCCGTGGGTGGGCATCCGCGTGCGGGTTCTGGTGGCCGAGTCGGGTGTGCACTTATTAATTATATGCAAGCACCAGAGTGCGTGCGCGAGGTGGGGGACGTCCAGGTGGCAGCGTTTCTGCAGCCGGTGGCCTGGGTCCGGCAGAGAGATGGGCGCACACCGCCACTCAGCGGCGGCCAGCGGCGTGGCACCCTACAGAGAGGCTAGTGCTCAGGGCCTGGATTTGCCACCTGCTTGCCCTGCTCTACCCCATCCTCAGATCCCCCACGCCCAGAGATTCCGCACTCTGGCTTGGGTCCCTGCGCCACTCTGGGGTCCTGAATTTTCTTCCTAATTATCGTCTTCGCCTTTGTACTTTTGATCCTACCATTCCTTCCTCCAGGAACAACCCTTCCTTATTCTCCTGGTTTACTCTTTTGTTGTTGTTGTTGTTGGATAAGCTAAGTCTACATTTCTTTTAATTGTTATGGATACTTAATAGTTGCAGAGAATTATGAAGATGCATGTGATGTTTTGGTACAGGTATAAAATGTGTAATGATCAAATCAAGGTAATTGAGGTACCCATCAAGCATGTATCATTCCTTTGTATTAGGAACATTCCAATTCCACTTCTAGTTATTTTTATTTGTATTTTATTTATTTGTTTATTTATTAGAGACAAGTTCTCACTACTTGGTTGCCCAGGGTGGAGTGCAGTGGCATTATCAGAGCTCACTGCAGCCTCAAAGCAATTCTCTTGCCTTGGCCTCCCAAAGTGTTGGGACTACAGGCCTGAGCCACCACGTCCCATCCAGTTATTTTGAAATATACAATAAATTGGCCGGATGCGTGGCTCACGCCTGTAATCCCAGCACTTTGGGAGGCAGAGGTGGGACGATCACTTGAGGCCAAGTATTGAAGAGCAGCCTGGGCAACATAATGAGACCTCTGCCTCTACAAAAATTGTTTATAAAATAATTAATTTAAAAAGATACAATACATTATTGGTAACTATAATCGTTGTATTGTGCTACCGAATACCGAATACTGGATCTCATTCATTCTAACTGTATTTTTGTACCCATTTCCCCCCTCCCCAGTACCCTTCCCAGCCTCTGGTAACTGTCATTCTGCGATCTACATTTTGCTTTTTTTTTTTTTTTTTTGAGATGGAGTCTCACTCTGTCGCCCAGACTGGAGTGCAGTGGGGCAATCTTGGCTCACTGCAATCTCCACCTCCCGGGTTCAAGCGATTCTCCTGCCTCAGCCTCCCCAGTAACTGGGATTACAGGCGCGCACCACCACGCCCGGCTAATTTGTGTATTTTTAGTAGAGACGGGGTTTCACCATGTTAACCAGGCTGGTCTCGAACTCCTGACCACAGATGATCCGTCCGCCTTGGCCTCTCAAAGTTCTGGGATTACAGGCATGAGCCACGGTGCCCGATCATCTTCCAAAACTCAGCTGTGATGTCCCTCCTCCAGAACGCCTGACGACAGGACATGACTTTTTTAAATCCCCAATGCCTAAACGTCTAAAGAGCTGAGTGGGTTGCCTAGGATCGGCCAGGCCTGGATATCCGCGAACAGATGCGGATTTCCACCAGGGGGCGCTAGGACGCCACGACCTTTCACTATGTGCACCAGGGGGCGCTGCCGCCCGCCTTGGCCATCCCGGACTGGGAAGTCCGACCCTAGGATTAAGCCCCGCCTAATTGGGAAAGGCTCTGAGAAACTATTTGCATTATCTTGAAAGGGCCGTGCTGAATGGTTGAGGTAGATAAGCCGACTGTGAAACAAGCTCTCTCATTGGCTTAAATTTCCCCCCTCGCTCTGCGTCGCCATCCCGGCCCTGCTGGACCCCGGGGACAGTAGGAAGCCGCGGGGTGGTGGCGAGAGAGGACCCAGGTGTCCCGACAGTGAGCGCCGCGGGGCACAGGCTGGGCCAAGGTGCAGGCGGCCAGGGTGGGAGACTGTTCGCCCCGCCCTGACTCCTCCTCTCTTCTCTGCCAGTCCAGGGGTCGGAGATGTGCAGCTAAAGAAAGCGCATCTGGGGACGGACATATCTGGCACTGCAGCCCTCGCCACCTGCCTCTCCACCCACCGAGGCCCTGGCGACCCTGGCCCCACCACGCTACCTTGAGGTAGGAAAAGGAGGCTCCTCAACCACAACTTCTGACCTCCCAGGGTGTCTCCCTCGGGCCTCTGAAGAGCTTAGTTTGCCCCTCTGGGAAGTGGATCCTTGGCTTATGGTGCCGGGGGTACCCTGGAGGCCCCCTCACACGAAGGCTGCTTCTTACAGAGTCGCTCGAAAGTAGGGCCCCAGGGCTCGCAGCAGCATGGGCACCGAGAAAGAAAGCCCAGAGCCCGACTGCCAGAAACAGTTCCAGGCTGCAGTGAGCGTCATCCAGAACCTGCCTAAGAACGGTGAGGCTGCGGGGACTCGCATTTGGACTCGCATTCAGGACGCCTGGGGTCTGACTCTGAAGAAAGAATGGTCCTGATCATTGCAGTTTTTACAGACGCCCCTGCCTGAGCTGTCCTGGGGGTTCCCTCCACTTCCTGCCCCAGTCCAGATGCCCTGGGTGGGACCCATCTCCACCTCTGCCCTTTCCAAGCGGGGTTCTCCCGCCCCTCCGCCCCTTGGAGCTGGGAGTGATGTTCTGCCCTGGCTTCCGAACTCTGCCCAGGTTCTTACCGCCCCTCCTATGAAGAGATGCTGCGATTCTACAGTTACTACAAGCAGGCCACCATGGGGCCCTGCCTGGTCCCCCGGCCTGGATTCTGGGACCCCATTGGACGATATAAGTGGTGAGCTCCCGGCTGGCTGGGCAAACAAGCCTCAGCTGTCAAGCAGCCCTCTCACAGCCCTCTGCCCCCAGGGACGCCTGGAACAGTCTGGGCAAGATGAGCAGGGAGGAGGCCATGTCTGCCTACATCACTGAAATGAAACTGGTGGCACAGAAGGTAGGGGCTGCAGGTTCTCTGTCCCCAGGCTCCTGGACAGCTGGCCTGCCCCTTGCCCTTCCAGTTCTGACCCCCACTACATTTCCTAAACATGGACCCCCTCGTGGGAATCACCACCTTCATGTTACCCCAGCCCTGCCTATCTTTGGCCCCTGACTGGGCACAGGGTGGAGGTGTGTGACAGGGCAGGAGCAGGGCGGAAGGGACAGGAGGCCACTCTCTCCCCAACAGACCCCCTCCCCCACAGGTGATCGACACAGTGCCCCTGGGTGAGGTGGCAGAGGACATGTTTGGTTACTTCGAGCCCCTGTACCAGGTGATCCCTGACATGCCGAGGCCCCCAGAGACCTTCCTGAGAAGGGTCGCAGGTCAGACTCCCAGGCTGGGAGCTCCAAAAGTGCTGAGTGAACTCAGGCTAGGTCTAGCCTGAGGTGGGCTGGGGGTAGAGGGCTCCAGGTGACATCCCTATTAGAACCCCCACGCCCCTGAGAGGTGGATCTCAGGCAGCACCCATGGCTCATCCCGAATAGGGGCTTGATCACACTGGGAGGTGCCAACCTCTCCCCAGCCCCACCTCTGGGTGCTGTGTCTTGGCAGGTTGGAAAGAGCAGGTTGTGAATGGAGATGCTGGGGCTGTTTCAGAGCCTCCCTGCCTCCCCAAGGAACCGGCACCCCCAAGCCCAGGTTAGTGCTTAGGCAGGAGGGGTGGACCAAACCAGGCTGGGGGAGGGCTGGAAGGGAGAAGGCTGGATGCCACGCTGTGCCCTCCACAGACACTGAGCCTTCCTGTGCTCCCAAAGGCAGGGACTGGGGTCTAGGATTCCTGTCCCAGGGCCTTGCTTCTGGTGCCCATCTGTGCCTCAGGTGGTGATAGCTCCAGTGTCTTGTATCTCTAGTGTCTCCTGAACAGTTGCTTCTGTCCAGTGCACACCCCTGCTCTCCGCCCACAGCTTCCCTCTGGGCAGTAACTCTACCAATCCCTCCACAGAGTCCCATCCACCCAGAGACCTGGACTCCGAGGTTTTCTGTGATTCCCTGGAGCAGCTGGAGCCTGAGCTGGTGAGACCAGTCCCCATTCCCCTTTTTCCCACTCTACTGTGCTCCCACTCCCACCCTCAGCCCTCTGACTCATCTCAGCAGGGTTGGGCAGAGCAGCGGGCAGCATCTGGAGGAAAACGTGATCCCAGGAACAGCCCCGTGCCCCCTACAGAGAAAGGTGAGCTCCTGCCCAACCTTTCACCCATTTCTGCCTTTTCCTGTGGTCTTGGCATCCCAGGCCTTCTCTTGGCTGCCTTCCTAGGGCAGAGGTGAAAGTCCATTGCTGGGCACTGAGCGAGAAGCCTCTGTCCAGGAGGGGCTGCCAATCAGCCAGATACCTGCCTGGGTGGGCAAAGTCCCCGCCCTCCCTCCTGTCCCCAAAGGGCACCCAGGAGTCTGTACCCTCTGCAGGTGCTGAGTAAGGCCAGCGGGATGGGAGTCCTAGCCCAGCTCTCCCACCTACAGCTGCACAGCCTCGGGAAGTCATCTATACTCTCTGGAACCCCCGTTTGGAAATCTCAGAAGACAATGAGTTCTGCCCTCTTCCCTTCTAGAACTTCTGTTGTGTGTTAGGTCCTGTATGGACATTTTCAAAAGTATCTCCTTTATTCCTCTGAGCAAGCAGCCCTGTGAAGGAGATGACATCTTCTCCTAATTTTTAGATGACAAAATGATGCCCAGAGAAGTTAATGACTTCGGCCGGGCTTGATGGCTCACGCCTGGAATCCCAGCACTTTGGGAGGCCAAGGCAGGCAGATCACCTGAGGTCAGGAGTTTGAGACAAGCCTGGCCAACATGGTGAAACCCTGTAGCTACTAAAAATACAAATATTAGCCAGGTGTGGTGGGCACCTATAGTCCCAGCTATTCGGGAGGCTGAGGCAGGAGAATTGCTTGAATCCAGGAGGCGGAGGTGGCAGTGAGCCGAGATCA